TATATATATGTATATATATGTATGTATGTATGTATATCTTTGAAACAAAAAAGAATCAACCAAATTCAGGCAACCTCCCCGTTCATGCTTACGCATTCCCAACATCTTCTTCTCCTCCCTATCCAACAGCACCCAAATATAGTACCAACCACATCGATTCCGGTAACCTCACCTTCTCCCTCCATTCTTAAACAACCGCATCGATCGACGGTGAAGATCGAAGTTATTAGCCAAGATTAAAGATGGCCGGCGAGCTTCTGAGGTTGCCGATGCGGCTGATAATGAAGGAGGCTGTAAATGGGACTAATGCGACTGCCGGCGGCCGCGGAGGCCGTCCTCGCAAAAATTTCGGTGATTTGGTGCTGCAAATGAACTGTTACTCCCCAAACATGGTACTGACCAACGGCGTGTGGCTTGGGGAGAACCCAATGCACTATTCTCTTCCTTTGTTCCTCACTCAACTTCTCTTTGTGTCCGTCACCACCCGCGCCATCGCCGCCCTCCTCCGCCCTCTCCACCAGCCTCTCATCGTCGCCGAAATCTTAGTATGTTTTCTCTCATCATCGTCGCCGAAATCTTAATAAAACATCCTCACGAAATTTCTTCCCTTTTCATTACTTCCTCTTCTACTTATCCTCTTTAATCTTGATTTTGTTAAATGCAGTCCGGGCTTGTCTTGGGCCCAACACTTATGGGCCGTATATTCAAAAATTCAAACTTCTTCTTCTTCCCCCTGCGCAGCGAGAACCTCATGAAAACAGCAGCAAACATAGGCCTCCTCTTCTTCGTTTTCACCGTTGGCCTCGAAATGGATATGTCCAACTTCCGTCACACCGGCCGCAAAGTCCTCTCCGTCGCCGCCGCAGGCATGATCCTCCCATTCCTCGTCACCATCTCCCTCTCCTACACCTTTCGCGAACACCTCCTCCCAGAACCCAACAACAACCACGCCTTCTACATCTACCTCGCCATCGCTCTCTCCATCACCTCCTTCCCCATCCTCGCCCGCATGCTCATCGACATCAAGCTCATGGAAACCGAAATCGGCCACATCGCCCTCTCATCCGCCATGATCATCGAACTTCTCGGCTGGATTCTCCTCGCCATCGGCATCGCTTTCACAGGGGATACGTCCGACACCAACGATCCCCCTCCCCCTTCCCATCTCATCATCCTCGCCGGCCTCCTGTTCGTGCTGCTCTGCATATTTGTGGTCCGCCCTGCTGTCGGGCGGTTCATGAGACGCACACCGGAGGGGGAGGTGATGAGCGATATGGATAGCGGGACCATACTTATCGGCGTGATGGCTGCCGGACTTATGGCGGATATGATTGGGATACATTCCGCGTTTGGAGCTTTTCTATATGGTTTCGTGATACCGCCGACGCCTCACGCAACGGCTCTGATCGGGCGGGTGGAGGAGTTCATAAAAGATTTATTGCTGCCTTTGGTGTTCTTCGGCAGCGGATTTCGGACTGATCTTTTGATGATTAAGCGGCTGAATCATGCGCTTGTTATCATCTTCATCTTCCTGTTGTCCAGCGCGGCTAAGATTGGGGTGATCGTGCTCATAGCGGTCTACTTCAGTTTTCCTGTTCTTGACGGGATTGCGTTGTCTTTCCTCTTGAATCCCAGTGGATTTGTTATACTCAGCATTGCGCAGGACAAAAAAGTAAGCTCTTTTATTCTTTTTTTCTTATAACAATCTGCTATAAATATAAATATCAAATTTTGGATATTGGATATGCAAATATTTAAGAATTATGTGATATGTGCGTACATAGTACTAAATATTAAATTTCAGATTTTGCTTACATGGAACGCATAAAATTTATATCTTATACACACATTATCTGCAAATTAAAAATTGTAGTAATGGATTCAGCTGATAGAAGCTGAAACGTACGCGATCATGCTGCTGCTCAACATCATCATGACCATAACAGTGATGCCGGTGGTGACAGCCGCCCACAAGCGATCCCGCAAACACCTGGGCTACAAGCGTCGAAATCTGCAGTGCTCCCGTCCAGACTCCGAGCTCCGCATGCTAACCTGCGTCCATAAATCACGCAACGTCCCCTCCATCATGAGCCTCCTCGACTTCTCCAACCCAACCAAAAGAACCCCCATCTTCGTCTACGCCCTCCACCTCGTCGAACTCAGCGGCCAGGCCTCCGCCATGCTCATCGTCCACAACACCCGCAGCTCCAACTCCCTCCCCCTCACCCACGCACAATCCGAACACATCATCGCTGCTTTCGAGACATACGAGCAGCACACCGGCGGCGTCTCTGTTCAACCCATCACCGCCGTCTCCCCCTTCTCCACCATGCACGAAGATGTCTGCTCCATCGCGGAGGACCACCACGTCGCTCTCATAATCATCCCATTCCATAAAATCCACAGCGTCGACGGAGGAATGGAGGTGATCCACCCGTCCATTCGCATGCTCAATGCCAATGTGTTCAAACACGCGCCTTGCTCTGTCGGCTTGCTTGTGGACAGGGGTTTATCGAGCACTGTAGGGGTGAACAGGCTTCAGCACTTGCGGCATGTGGTGGTGCTTTTCTTCGGCGGCGCGGATGACCGCGAGGCATTAGCCTACGCGTGGCGGATGGCGGAGCACCCGGCGGTTTCTATGACGGTATTGAGATTTATTGGGAAGGGGGAGGAGGTGGGGGAACAGGACGAGCAGTATGTGAGTGAGTTTCGGCTAAATTTTGTGAGCAATGAAAGTGTGGTGTATGTGGAGAAGGTGGTGAGCAATAGCGAGGAGACGGTGGGGGTGATAAGGGGGTTAATGGAAGGGGAGAGGCATGATTTGTATGTGGTGGGGAGGGGGAGTGGGAAGTCCAGGCTGACGACGGGGATGGATGAATGGTCGGAGTGTCCGGAGCTTGGGCCCATTGGGGATTTGTTGGCTTCTTCGGATTTTGGGACGGGGAGTGCGACGTCCGTGTTGGTGGTGCAGCAATATGTGGGGGAGGGTGCTTTTAGGGAAGGGGTGGAGGAGGATGAGGAGGTGGTGGTGGAGAGTCCGACGAAGTTGGAGAGTGTGCAGCACTATTTGTCGGGTCATACTGCGAGCAGAGGTGGTGGGGGAGTGTTAGCGTGACAGGGAGTCGATGCTTGCATTGGGCCGTTTGATTTGGACAAGTAGTCCATGCTTGCATGACAATCCATATGAAGGCTTGAATGGTTGGGTGTTTTGTATATTGTAATTATTTTAAGGCTTAGTTTGCTGCTTTGTGATGTATAATACTTTGAGAGAATAATACATTATTTTATTTGTGGAATATAGTTTGATATTATGCAATTAGCTAGAGAGATTTATGTTGAATACAATGCTATACTTTTTATTTAAAGAGTGTGGCATCTCTTGTATTGGTTATGTTATTGTGTTCTGCAAGCTCTTTGTATCATGCTACTTTTTATATGTAGGCATGTTGTTGTGTTCTCAGTAATAATAATAAAAGATTAATTTCATTTCTTCTTTCTGCATTTCCTCTTCTCTACTTTTTCTTCTTCGGTTATATCTCTGTGTTGCTTGTTTATCATGAGAAACTAAGGAATTTATCTTGGTGTCAGAGCCTCCTTGCCACACGACATCCCTCTCCCCGCTTAAACAGTATTGATTCCTCTGTCATTTGCTCGAAATGAATCATTCGCAGGTCTCAAAGGCTTCATCTTTTTCTTTTGATTTCTCAAATCGTTAGAATCAAGATCATTTTTTATTTGCTATTTTTGCCTCTTCTTCAATCTCCTCTACTGATTCACCTGCTGCAAGCCCCCTCTTTGCCATTCACAGCTTTATTGTTAGGCTTCATCTTTCCATTTGTCTCACTCTTTCATAGGCCACGATTTTTCCTTATTGGTGGAACTTCGTAGACTGCAAAGCTGAACTTTTGCTACTTTCTTACCTCCATTTAGCAGTAGTCACTTCTTTTTCTTTTTCCCACCTATATAGTCTTTTCTTTCCTTAGGTTTCATAGATTCAACCTCCATAGCTTCGACATATCTTGCCACTAATTCTAACTCTACCTTGCAATCATCCTATTCCCACACAACTCAAGTTTCTTATCACTCACATCAAGAACAACATCTCCACACCTCTACATGTCGAAAATCACATCACCTGGAAAGCTCAAGTGTTAAAACTATTCAAGCCTAATGGGTTGGGTTTCCTGCCGCCAGCATGGTCATTAATCCTGAAGACCTTATTCTATATACTCTCAAGGACCTCCTCTTCACCTACCACACCCTCAAGATTGTCAGTCACACTAATATTCAACCCCTTTATCTTGATGATCTCTAAACGCTTTTGTGTTGTGAAGAACTCTAGCCTAAGAGTCTACCACTGATTCCAGCAATCCCTTCCAACCGGACTTTTCAACTCACATTGTCGTGGCAAACCTCGACAAATTACTACTGTGAACACAATAGTTGGTAATCTTCCTTTAGGGACATCAATAATAACTTCGAAAACAATCTATTTCTTACTACTCCTGGGTACAGATCTTCCTCCTCCAATTGTGGCAACAGCCGGTTCAAAATCATTTGGCATATATGCAACAAGTATGATTTTCTACAATAAAATGTTGGCCCTGACACAACCCCAATTACCAATCACTTGTCGCTTTCATCAGTGATTCCAATACTTCTTCAATATTTTTTTACTATTTGGATATGTTAGGTATGACTCATATACCATATAAGGGACAAATGCTGGAACAAAGCGGAGCGAAATAATCTGTCCAATGGGTGGGGGGAGGTTTGTTATGTGGGTCGGGGTGTGGGGGCAACGCTCCGCAGTACGGTACAGGTTATATATATATATATATAAACAAACCTTCCTGACATCACTTAAAGAGTTGATATGTTGGCTGTCGCCAGCATGGTCATTAATCCCGAAGACCTTATTCTATATACTCTGAAGGACCTCCTCTTCACCTACCACACCCTCAAGATTGTCAGTCACACTAATATTCAACCCCTTTATCTTGATGATCTCTAAACGCTTTTGTGTTGTGAAGAACTCTAGCCTAAGAGTCTACCACTGATTCCAACAATCCCTTCCAACCGCACTTTTCCACTCACATTGTCGTGGCAAAGCTCGACAAAATCCAACTGTGAACACAATAGTTGGTAATCTTCCTCTAGGGACATCAATAATAACTTCAAAAACAATTTATTTCTTACTACACCTGGGTACAGATCTTCCTCCTCCATTGTGGCAACAACCGGTTCAAAATCATCTGGCATATATGCAACAAGTATGATTTTCTACAACAAAATGCTGGCCCTGACACAACCCAATTACCAATCACTTGTTGATCTCAGTGATTCCAATACTTCTTCAATATTTTTTTTGCTATTTGGATATGTTAGGTATGGATCATATACCATATAAGGGACAAAAGCTGGAACGAAGCGGAGCGAAAGAATCTGTCCAATGGGAGGGGGGCGGGGGGAGGTTTTGATTTCT